GGCAGCTGGAGATGCTGCAGGGAAGGGGGTGCCACCCTCCCGAGGGACTGGGTGACGGGTACTGGGAGCAGAGGGCCCTGCGCAGTCCCTGTGTGGAGCGTCAGCACCAGGAGAGAGTCCTTGATACTTTGCTTCTTTAAAAGAAAACAACTCTCCTGGAGCCATGGTTCTGGGAGCAACGACCTGCCGCCTTGCAGCGAGCGGTGCCGTTTGCCCTGGGAACGCGGCCAGATCCGGGGCTGTTTGGGGAGCGACTGCTGCAAAGGTTTCATGCTGGGGGCCAGCAGAGACGCTGAGCCCAGTGGGAGCAGGCCAGGAATGTGGCTAGGAGGGGGAGGGAAAGGGGAAGGCAGCCCCGTCTCCTTGGCTAGTGATAATGCTGCTGGGCAACAAATTCCCACACTGCTGCTTGCGACGTGCGTTGCTCTTTTCTCTAGTTGTGTTGGGAGAAAGAGATGAGGTGTCCTTGGTATCAGGCTGGAGCACGCCCTGGGCATGGGCAGCACAGGTGTCTGGTTGCATTGACCAATGCCGGTGGGATGACTGTGGATTAAGCTTGGTGTAACTGGCCATTGAGTCAGTCCTGAGGAGACTCTTCCCTCTGTAACAGGGCAGCCACCTTCTTCTGCCCTGAAACCAAATGCCCTTGTGCAAAAACTTCCTACCTGTCAGGGGGGTCAAACACTGGAATGAGTTGCCCAGGGAGGCTGTGGAATCCCCATCCCTGGAGATATTTCAGAGCAGGTTGGACACACACCTGTCAGGGATGCTCTAGACGGTGCTTGGTCCTGCCGGGAGGGCAGGGGACTGGACTTGATCTCTCGAGGGCCCTTCCAGTTCTAGTGTTTCTGATCCTAGGATTTGCTGATGCCCTGGTGTATATCGGGACCATCTGAAAGGAGGTGGGAGGCAGAGGACACCCCTTCCTCATTGGTACATCCCCTATTGGAATCAAAAACCCTCCCTGGCCAAAGCCAATGGTCTGAGTCCATTTCCTGGTGACTTCATGTCCAGCCTGGCTCCCTGGTGCGCAGCGTCAGCAGAGAAGTTAGCAGTCGGGGGACACTGAGACCAGCTCCTATTCCCCCAGGGAGCTGGTGCGTCTACCAGCCGGGGGATGGCAGGAAGCTTTGACACAGTTGCAGGCTCTGCAGCACGTGTCTGCAGTGCTGTTGGTCTGTGAACATCCCCCTCTTCCATTTGCGGAAGCCTGGGCAGCGGCAGATGGTTTCCACTGACAGGAAATGAGGCCAGCTCTCCAAGTTCAGTCTAGCCTCAGCAGGTTGCTGCCTGCACTTTGTCCCCCTGTCTCCACTTGCTGGCCTCCTAGGAGGGGGAGAAGGGAAAGGCAGGTCAGGCATCAGATGGGAGAGCGGTAGGGACTTTCCCTTCGCTGGCCATGTGTTGTCTGCTCAGAGGGTCAGGCTGGTGATGGAAGGGAGAACGCACCCGGTTCTTCCAGAGCTGCTGCTCTGGAGCCGGCTGCTGTCAGGACAGCGAGAGAAGCAGCATTTAAAGCCTGCCACTCTGTAACCCACAGCTGGACTTGGAGCAGGATTGGGGATTGCCCTGCCCCAAAGAAAACCCCTTCTCCTGAGTGCATGGCCAGTCCTTCGCCTGCTTGGCCACTGCCTCCTGCCCCAAGGAGTTGGACTGCTTTGTGCCTCCATGTTTGGCCTCTATCAGTGAAGTGAGCCTTCCCCTAAGGCCTCTTCTCTTCCCCTCTCATTTCTCCCAGCTCCTGCCTTTGGTCCCCTTGCTGGCCCCGTCCAGAGCAGGGAGCTGGACTCCGCTCTCCATGCCACTGGAGTGTGTGGTGCCGGACCAGAGAGATTCAACTGGTAATATAATCAGACGCAAACCTCTGGGTTAGCAGCCTCTCTCAGTAGTGAGCACCTGGAGAGTGTGAGCCTGTTCTCCACATTCCTACTCAATTAAATATTTCTGTTCATTAGGAAAGGCCTCCAGTTGGGCTTCTAGCTGGCTTGGAGTGGTGGGGGTGGTCTCTGGTTCTCAGGGCTGCAGGAGTCACGCTGATAGCTGTCCTGCCATCAGCATGCAGAGGATGCTGATCCTCCCAGAGGCTGTCTGCTCCCGTCACTACACCCCACCCATGTTGGCAGAGTGGGCACTCGCCACAGGGAGGCTGGCAGAGAAGCAGCAGGCCAGACCTGCGATGCAGGGCTAATGTGGGGGTCTGGTCTGTTCTCACGCTAGGCGCATGGCAGTGGGCTGAGCGGGAGCAGTGACTCACCCTCTTGCGTGTGCGTGATCGGGGCACCTCGGGGAGAGCGCAGCAGCTGCCTGAAGTTTAAAATCTGTCCCCATGTGCACAAGCGTTCAAGGCGGGGCCAGCGTCCAAGCAGCCCACCCTGCAGGCGCCTCCTTCTGTACAACTTCGGGCCCCTGGGGCAGAGCCTGGAAGCTGAAGCTGAGTGGGGTGCGAAGGCCACGCCCGGTGACCTGTGCAGCGAGAGGAAGGCCCGGCCAGGGGGAGGACAGACCTGAAGGGTGAGTGAGCTGGGGCTGCCCTACCCAGAGTCCTCCGGACTGATGCAAAGTGGGCAGAGGCACCTGTGCCTCGAGGAGGGGGGATGGGGCTGCGTTTTGTCGGTGGGAGCAGAGCCCCAGCTGCTATGGGAAGAGCTCCAGAGAGTTCAGAGGGGAGGGAGGGAGGGATGACACCTGCCTGCCTGGAAGGTCACAGGCTGGGGGGGCAGGCCAAAAACTGCAGTCCAGGCTCCACACCTTGCACGCA